TAGGTATAGAATGGGGAATAGATCCTTGAAGGCCGTTCCCTGTGCTAGCTCTGCTGCCAGCTGCCAGGCTTGAGGTAACCTGCTCAGCCAACCTTCCACTCTATCCTTGATGTTGTTAAATGCAAGGTCTGCCCTACACAAAGCCCAACTAATTCAGGACTTGATCTTGGCCTATATTACTGAGACTTGGGTGGGCACAGAGGGCGGTGTAGCCCTCTCTCTAATCTGCCCACATGGATATTCCATCCAACACCAAGGTAGACTGGAGGGGCGGGGAGGGGGAGTTGTCATTATCTGTAAAAACACCTTGATGGCTGTTAGGCTCTCTGCTTTCATGGTCCCCAGCCTAGAGGCCCTTCACATGTTGGTAGATGGAGTTGAGATTGTGCTGGTTTACCATGCTCCCTGTGACCCAACACTCTCCTTTCTGGCAGTAGTGCTGAGGTTCCCTCAGGCTCCTTGTTGTGGAGGACTTGAAAGTCCATGCTGAGATTGGGGTCACCGGTCCAGCTCTTGAGTTATTGGACATCATGGTTTCCTTGGACATGTCCCAATATGTCAACGGCCCCACCTATGTGGCAGGCCATATGCTAGATCTGGTGTTTTCAACAGGGCAGGAAGAGAGTGAATGGCCTATTGTTGGTCCCCTTGTTATGATCAGATTGCCACCAGATAAAATGCAGCCTCTCAGTGGCACTCCCTCCTACAAAGGGGGTGGGGACCCATTAAGATGGTTTGCCCCTGCAGGCTATTGGATCCAGCTGGCTTCCAAGACCCAATGCAGAGGCATTCCTGGTTGGCATTCCTGTCGAAGCTCTGGTGGATGGATGGTATGCTGGTGCTACCAGGGCTGCTGACATAATTGCGCCCAAATGCCCTCTCTACTGCCCAGCCCGCTCAGCATCTTGGTATAACCAACAACTATGGGGGATAAAACAGAATAGGAGGAGGCTGAGAGTATATGGAAATTGGTGCCAATGGAATCTAATTTTAAAGCCACAAAAATGGTGTCACACATTTATTTAGCTAAGGCCCCAAGGAGAACAGACTTCACTGCCCTGATAAGTGAAGTTCAAGTCCATTAGGATGAACTTTTTCATATAGTACGCAATTTATCTGGCATTGGTCACAATTATAGGCCTCCCAGCAGTATTTCCTGTGACCAATTTTGCAGCCTGTTTTAAGCATAAAGTGGAGGCCCTCTGCTGGGACCTTAGCCATCTTTCTTCTCCAGTAGACTGAGCCGAGACATAGAGGTTGATTGCTTGATCGTTGCAGGGCCACTGCAACCTCCCTACATCCTTGCCCAGCCTGGCTCATAAAACCGGCCAGGCCAATAATAATGGAATGGGCCACAGCTATTATTAATGGGTATCTTTTTGAGGGCAAGGTTCCCTGAACTGTCAAGGAAACACCTATTAGGCCAATTCGTTAAAAAAACCAAAAACAACAACCCTAACTTAGTGGATGATATTAACAACTACAGTGGGGTCTTGACTTGAGAACTTAATCCGTATTGGAAGGCGGTTCTCAAGTCAAAAAGTTCTCAGGTCAAATCTGCATTTCCCATAGGAATGCATTGAAAACCATTTGATCCGTATCTGCTCTTTTCCGTCCATAGAAACTAATGGGAAGCTGCTATTCCGCCTTCGACCACTAGAGGGGGATATTTCGTTTCTTTTTTTCTTAGGTCAAGAAAAGGTTCAGGGAAGGCAGGGAAAATATAGTCCAGGCAGTACCAGGCAGTCCGAAGACTGTCTCCCAATCCACTCTCTAAACGCTGGGAGGAGTGAGGAAGCAGACAGGCACCCTTTTCACTGGCCAACAGTTAACTGAAAGTTCAAATTTTGCACTCTCCCTGCCTCCCACGTGTTTTTTTTCCAGTTCTTAACTCAAATCTAAGTATGTAAGTCAAGTCAATATTTTCCCATGAGAGTGGTTCTTACGTCAAAATGTTCTTAACTCGAGCCATTCTTAAGTCAAGACCCCACTGTATAGACTTGTCACCTCTTCTTAGCAAGCTAGTGGAGAGAGGTGTGGCTGATCAGTTACAGGCACTCCGGGAGGAGACCGATGCCCTCGATCCATTCCAGTCCAGGTTCTGGCCACACCTCGGCATGGAGACAGCATTAGTTGCCCTGAAAGATGACCTTTTGAGGGAGACTGACAGGGGCAAAATGTCCTTGTTCTTCCTCACCCTGACAGCGGCCTTCAATACCATCAACTATGGTATCCTCCTGGGGAGGCTTTTTGGGTTGGGAATCGGTGGCCTGGCTCTGGCCCGACTCTGGTCCTTCCTAGAGGACAATCCTCAGAGAGGACAGCTTGGGGAAATGATGTCCACGCCTTGGACTCTCCATTGTGGAGTCCAATAGGGATTGATTATCTCCCCAATGCTGTTTAATATCTATACAGTAGTGCCTCGCTTAACGAGGATAATCCGTTCCAGCGAAATCGCTGTAGAGAGAAATCCTCGTTAAGCGAAATAAAAAATCCCATTGAAACGCATTGAAAACCCGTTCAATGCGTTCCAATGGTCTGAAAAACTCACTGTCCAGCAAAGATCCTCCTACGCTGCCTGTAAAGTGAGGAATCCGTCCAAAAACATAGCAGGGAGCCATTTTACACAGCGGACAGCCATTTTGAAGCCACCGATCAGCTGTTTTAAAAACGTCGTAACACGAAGAATCGGTTCCCAAAGCAAGGAACCGATCATCGCAAAGCGGATTTTGCCTATTAAAACATTATTTTGCCATCGCAAAAGCAATCGCAAACAGTCACTGTATAGCGGTTTCGTCATTTAATAGGGCAATCGTTAAGCAAGGCACCACTGTATGAGGTCGCTGGGGGAGATCGTCAGGAGTTTTTGAGCTTTTTGTCACCAATATGTGGATGACACCCAGCTCTACCTCTCCTTCCACCCCTCTTCAAAGGATGTTGAGCGCTGCCTGGACGCTGTGGATGAGGGATAGTAAACTGAGGCTGAACCCAGACAAGATGGAAGTCCTGCGAGTGGGTGCCCCAGTGTTTGCAGACTGGGTGCCTCCCTCTCATTTTTTTGGGGGGGCTACTCTTTCCGCTAAGGATGAGATTCACAGCTTGGACGTACTCCTGGATCAAGTGCTATCAATGGAGTCCCAGATAGTGTCTGTGGTCTGCTCTGCCTAATTCCATCTAAAGCAGATTGCCCAGCTGCATCCCTACCTTAACACTGGGTTCCTTACCACGCTGGTCCATGCACTGGTGGTCTCAAGATTGGACTACTGCAATGCTCTCTACCTGGGGCTGCCCATGAGACTGCTATGGAAACTTTAGCAGGTCCAGAATATGGCAGCCGGACTATTAAGTGATGTAAAGATATTTCTGTCCACCCTGCACTGGTTAGCTGTTTGTTTCCATATCAACTTCAAAGTAATGGTCCTAACTTATAAAGCCCTAAACATTTGGGACTTCGATATCTGGCAGATCATCTCCTCCCAACAATATCTGCCCATCCTATACAATCCTCCCAGGCTGGGCGGCTGCTGAGTGTGCATCAGAGGAGGCTTCAAGCTGCCTGGTGCTGCTTTCTGCTTCTGAGTAAGTACATTTACAGGGTTTTGCAGGGCGGGTTTGGGCTGGGGGGAGCTTATGTTTCTGTACTGTGATTTTTTTGGTGTGGGTTTGTTTTTTTGTTTTTTTGCCCCAGCACCTTCCGATGGGGCTTGCTGTGTTTGTGTGTGTGTGTGTGATTATATTTCCAGCCCCAGCGTGTTCTTATGTGGCCTGCATTTTTTTGGGTGTGTTTGTTTTTCAGCCCCAGCGCGTTCCAATGGGGCTTGCATGGGGGGGGTGTTGGTGATTTTTTTCCCCGGCCCCGATGCATTCCGAAGGGGCTTGCAATGTTTTTTTTGGGGGGGGGTTGGTGATTTTTATTTCAGGCCCTGACGCGTTCTGATGGGGCTTGCTGTGTTGTTGTTTCTTTGTTCTTTGTGATTTTTTTCCCCAGCCGGAACAGATTAATCGCGTTCCAATGCATTCCTATGGGAAATGGTGCTTCGACTTACAACCATTTTGATTTACAACCATCATTCCAGAACAGATTAAGGTTGTAAGTCAAGGCACCACTGTACTGATAAATATATTGTTCAGTATGTGATCATATTGATAATTTGATTATAAAATAAAATATTTTAAAAAACAAATAAATTGCCAACAGGAAAAAAGAAGAAGAGGCTGATCTCAGGCTGCTACTCCATGCTTTGTTGTTGAGGTCCAGGGAACAACAAAGGTGTCTTGATCACTGACCAGTACTTATGGCCATTCTTTCAGTATTCAGATGTTTTTGTTACTTTTGAGAACGGAGATAATTAGTCTTCAAGAGCATCCTATGTGCACTTATTACTCAGTGTGGACTAAGGTCAAACAATATGACCATGCATAGCAACTCCAGGGAGACTGGACTAAATGAACATGAAACCAGATTATAAGGCACCATATATAGAAGCAGGAGGTGATCATGAACAGCATTCAGGCAGCCAGTAGGTCATGATTTTAACCCTACTGTGGTTCTGTCACCCTTTTTTTGCTTTATTTTCCCTCTGCTGTAGACTGTTATGAGGGGGAAGGAAGCAAAGTTGGGTATATTTCTTCCACAGAAAAGACAATAGAGAGGTAATCTGGCACCATCTTCCAACTACTGGAGAACCACCTCTTAGGTCAGCATGAGCAGTGTGGCTAGAAGGCTGGGCTGGGACACCAAGGCCAAGGTCCAAAAATGAATCATGGAACTCGCAAGGGGACATTGGGCATGTCTCTGAGCATAACCCACTTCTGTCTCACTTATAGTGATGATAGTGGGAAGGAGGTAAGCCATGTATGACATTGTTGTGGTAGGTTTTTCAGGCTGTTTGGCCGTGTTCTGGAGAATACATGTGTGACATGTTGAGTTTTACACAGGAAAGGTGGCATATAAACAAACCAATAAAAACAACAATACAACATATTCAGGCATTACATACCTCCATGACTTCCTTACGGATGTTGACAATCCGGAACCAATGCAGCAGCTGTGGGAAGCCCTCCAGTTTGGCATTCCGCTCTTGCAGGGCCACCTTTCGCTTGCAAGAGAGCTGACGGCTGAAATACTTCACCAGCTTGCTCTGGAAAAAATGTGAGAAAGACAGAGAGAAAGATGAAAGGAGATGTGAACAGGCAGAATAATAGTTCATCAGAGAAGATTCCAGGCCCTGGCACTATGCAAATCTTCTTGTTCAGACCTTCCTTCACACTTTCTGTATAGGAGTGGAACATCTAGATGTTTTGGTCAAGCCACCATCACCACTGGTAAAGAGATTGTGAGGACTGTAGTACAAACCAACCAAAGGGCTAGAGGTACCCCAGCTGTTGCTTCAGTAGGTCATGATCTTAACCCTACTGTGGTTCTGTCACCCTCTTTTTGCTTTATTTTCCCTCTGCTGTAGACTGTTATGGGGGGGAGGGAAGCAAAGTTGGGTATATTTCTCCCACAGAAGAGACAATGAAGAGGAAATTTGGCACCATCTTCCAACTACTAGAGAACCACCTCTTAGGTCAACATGAGCAACTTTAATGACACCAGAAATTGTGTTTTTTTCTCCTCGCTAAGGTCGTGCCATCCCTTCTGAACTGTAAAGATTCTGCAACAATGTGAAGAAAAGAGAGGTTATTTACCTGTAACCATGGTTCTTCAAGTGGTTCTCTGTGAATCCACACAAATGGGTTAGACTACAACTGCACAGGACTCCTCGGAATCTTCTAGAACATAAAAACATGTGGTTAATAGGATATTCCCCCGTGGTGCACATGCTCTGCCCACCCGAACCTCAGTTGTCCGCCATGGGTTAGACTACACCTGCACAGGACTCCTCGGAATCTTCTAGAGCATGAAAACATGTGGTTAATAGGATGTTCCCCCGTGGTGCACATGCTCTGCCCACCCAAATCTCAGTTCTGAAAATTGTCCGCCGCTGTAAAGCTCTGACTATGACAAAACTCTGAGACAACAGGGAGGATGGGCGGAAAGTGTGGCTTCACAGAGAACCACTCGAAGAACCATGGTTGCAGATAAGTAACCTCTCTTTCTTCTTCATGGTCTCTGTGAATGCACACAAATGGATTACTAGCAAGCTAACTTAACGGATGCGGGGCTGTCAAACCAACATAGAAGTCAGCACAGCCCTGCCGAAGCATGCCTCCTTTTTAGCCCTGATGTCCAGACGATAATGCATGACAAAGGTCGAGGGTGTAGACAGACCAAGTGGCCGCTCGGCAGATGTTGGAAAACTCGATGCCATGTAGCAAGGTGGTAGAGGAGGCCATAGCTCTCACTGAGTGCGCCTTCAGCACATCCAAAGGAACCTTGCCAGTCAATTCATAGGCTAAGGTAATGGCACCAGTGATCCATCTGGAGATCTATTGGGACGAGGCAGGACAACCTTTCCCTGGGCCATAGAAACAAACAAACAGCCAAAGTGAACTGCGGAAGTCCTTGGTTCTGGAAATATTGAAAGCTAGGGTGCCACGAACATCTAGGGAATGGCACATGCGTTCAACATCAGAAGAAGGAGATCAGAATAACGTCAGAAGAATCAGGAGTTGGTTAACATGAAAACTGGAAACTACTTTAGGAAAGAAAGACACATCCGGATACAAAGTAACTTTGTCTGGATGGAACTGAATATAAGGGGCATCAGCCCTGGGGGCAGCCAACTCACTCGCTCGTCGAATGGAGGTAACAGCAACAAGAAAAAATGTCTTAAAGGGAGGAGATTGAGGTGAGTAGAAGCAAGAAGTTCAAATGGAGGGTGAGTCAGTGCAGAGAGCACAACATGGAGAGACTATTGAGGGAGTGGAGGCCGGATAGGTGGACAAATGTTCTTTAGACCTCTAAGGAACCTCTTCAAAGTTGGGTGTGAAAATAAATGAGAAGCTTCGGAACCAACAGGTTGATAAGAGATGTTAGCAGAAATACAAATTTTCAGCGTTGAGTGGGCCAAACCTCGACCAAACAGACAATGAAGGAAGGACAAAAGAGTGCTCAGTGATGCTGGAACTGCAACAAGGCCCCTAGAAGCAGCAAATATAGAG